TATAATTTTGCATTAATAAAGTTGGTAATAATTCAAAATAAAGGGAAAATGGTTTTTTTTTTTTTTTTTTTTTTTTTTTTTTTTTTTTTTTTTTTTTTTTTAAAGGGGGAGGGGGCTAGAAAAGCTCAAATTCAAAATTGGAAAAGGCAAGATTAAAGTTGGAATTACCAACTTTAAAGTTGAAAAAGTCAAGATTATAGTTGGAATTACCAACTTTAAAAAATTTGAATTAGCAACTTTAAAGTTTGAATCATTAACTTTAAAGTTTCAATTACCAAATTTAAAGTTGGAATTTCCAACTCTGAAGTTTGAATTTTCAACTTTAAAGTAGTTGGAAGAGCCATCTTTAAAGTTGAATTACCAACTTTGAAGTTGGAAAAGCCAACTTTAAAGTCGGAATTTCTAGCTTAAAAAAATTTACTTGGCGCTAATATGCTTCCGTACTAAATTAATCAAATGAAATTATTTTTTTTTTTTACTAAGTTAAAAAATGTTTAAATCAATTAATAATTAAAAAGAAAAGAAATGAAAATCTAACCATTTACAGAATTCATACGCAATTTAATCATTTTTTTTTTTTCAAATCAATAACTAAGTTTATTTGTTAGTAATAAAACGACTTTTTAAAATCAAACTACAATTGTTAAACAATTAAATGCTGCAAAAGATTACGAATTACAAATGTAATTATTTTTTTCACTGCGTAGTTTGGAGTCTAGTGAAAAAGGTTTGTACACAGAGGATGATAAGCATTTCACCAGGCGGGTAACATACTCAATCACAACTATTTATTAATTTCAACTGAACATTGAGTATTTTATCTGTTAATATAGTACTGGTGTAGCGAGTTCTAATCTTAACTTAATCTGAATGATTGCTATTCTTAACTAATCTTTGATTAATCCGTAATAATTTAATTAAAGTCCGAAATATTCCGAATAGAAAAATCAGATCGAGGCCAAAGCATGCGAGAAACGTGTACAAAGTGTTTCCTGCAGGCTTTCGTGTAAAGCATTTTGTGTAAACCATGTAGCGTTTCGTGCAAGCCGTCTAGAGTTTCGTGTAAACCGTGCAGCGTTTCGTGCAAAACGTGTAGCGAGCGTGTACCGTGCGTGCAGCGTGAAAGTAGGATAGAAGCACGTTTCAGGGTCCGTTCCATTACTTCTAGAATTTTGCATTGAAATTACCATTCCTCTAATGTCTAAAAGTAATGAATTGCATATCCATGACTTTGGTAAAGTAATACATTACCATTATCATTACTTGTTTGGTTTTCAAAAGTAGAAATACAAAATCTTTGCAACTATTTCCATAATCAAACCGAACAATCAAAACTATATATGATGAATTGATTCAAGTTCGATTATGACGTACTTGTATTTATTATACTGTAAAAAACCTAAATATCTTTTTGTTTATTCATAAGAAGAAACTTTTTAATTGTCAATAAGATAAAACCATGTACGAGGGTTGTTCGGAAAGTTCGTAGACTAGCGCATTAAAATTAAAACGGCTCAAGATACATCAATGAATTTTTTTATTTAAAATTAGTTAGCATCACCTTTTTTATTTATATAATAAACTATACATCACTAGTTATATTTTTCAATAAATTGTTGATGTTTTTGAAAGCAACAGTATGTCCAGGCGGCGCACCTCGAAGATTACGTCTTTTTCTACCTAAATGTAACTGAGAAAAAACTCTTTTTTTAATATGAGCATTTGTCATCCAAAAATGCCGTTAATTCACTCATGTGGTATGACATAATTGTACCGTAAAATTTTCAATTTTTACTCCATTCTGTAAGTTCTATGAAATTTTATCGTAAATTTTATATGAAATGTCCAAACAATTAAGGGGTTGTAATGACGTCAGAAAAGAGGGTGGGTTTCTTTTTCATACATTCTATAAAGTTTCACCCCATGGGAAAATTGGCATAGACCTAGAATATATCTAAATGGGCCTCTGAAAAATAAAATGCATTCAGAGTACTTGTTTTTAAATGCCGAAAAAGATTAGGGAGACGAGAGATGTAAAAGTTAATGTCGATTTGTAGTAAGGGTGTTCAAAGTTTGTCACATCGAAAAGTGACGTTGTTCATGTGTGATAGATGTTGAACTCCGAGAAGCAAATATGCTGTTATAATCAAGTTAGGATCTTTCACTATGTATAGATTTATTTACAATATTATATGCATTGGTATTAGCTGTTCATGACATTGTAAAACCATATAAGCAAGGCGGGATTAAATCTTTACTTAACCCCAAGGAATCTCATCAAGATAAGTGTATGAGGTAGAGAATGCGGACATTGAGAAACAATGACGTCATGAAACTAAATGGCGACAGCGCCGGGTGATCATATAATGTCTTTTTTTTTATGATAATTTGGTAAATATTCAAGGTATCAAGCTAAAATTTTCAAAATTTCTTTAACTTTTGTTGTTTTATGTTCCTTAAGAATTTTGTAAGCATAAACTACATAATATTTATTTCATTGCATCAGTCCACGAACTTTCCGAACAACCCTCGAAAAACATGCACTTTTGCATAACTATTGATGTCAGATAACATAACCTTTTTGTGTCATTTTCGCCTCCTATGAGTCATTTGAATTTATCAAACATGAATTGTTTTGATCTAGTTACTTTATGAAAGAAAAAATAGAAACACTTCTTTGACAAGTAAAATGGTTTGGACTTTTTGCTCAACTAAAAAAAAAAAAAAAAAAGAAGTTTGGCTGTCTTCTACTCCTTTTAGTCCAATGGATTTGTCATGGTCAGCTCCAATGAGAAAAGCTCAATGAATGTTTCATAAATAAAGCCAGGGGAAAAGGAGTTGGTTTTTCAAGCACTTCAAAAAAACAGTGCATTGTTTGAATTGTTAGATAAACCAAGAGGCACTGTGCGTTTTGTTGACATTCAATTCATTAGGAAGCAGTTAGCAGAATATAGTGCACCTTAATTAGTGTACCTCATTCTAGAACTAATTTTTAAAACAACGTATTTCTAAACTTCATTGAATATTCTTTGGAACATAACCTGCATATGGTGTTTATATCTCCCAACTGATTCGATACGAAAATGCGTTCTCTGAATACAATCAAATTTTTAACCGAGGCAAGCTACTGACAGATATGTTGATGTTACAATGATTTCAACAACAACCCATTTAAAGTCAGCTTTTCGCAAATTCTACCGCCGTTACATGTATCACATTGTTTATAAAAATCATTGGGTCGTATTTTGTCTGACATGTTTCACACCATTTGTTAGGTCATTGCTTTATTCTTAATTCAAATACGGAGAACTCCGTCTAAATGATCAATACATAGGACTCAAAGTGGGGGTCCGTGTTTTTGCCCTGTTCATGATTAGTTTCGCTTATTGGATTGTAGAGACTTATCACTGTTCGTTACCTCATCTTTTACATTATCTAGAGCTTTCTAAAATAAACATGACATTTAAATGTTTGTTATTGTAATTTAGATAGAATATATAAAAAGTAAAGTATATTCATGCAGAGATTTTAATTCAATACGTTTAATTCATTTTCATCATTATTTGAAAAAAATTATCTACGCAGCACAGTTAAGGTGCCAAATGGAAATATCGGCGAATTTTTTCGATAGAAAATACATTCTTTACAAGGATGGGCATTTCTTTTTAGGACTTTACTATTATCGGACAAATGCAGTGTGGTTGAAAACTAAATGTTGAGGACGATTAGATTTCTTATTAAGACTTGTCACGTGATGTGGCAGTCACATGATTTTAGCAAATATACCTGAAGTATTGAGGTCATCTATAAATTCTAATATTGCAAGGGCATAACCAAGTTAAAAATCTAAGTTTAACATATAATTATTTTCAACACTCTTTGTAGTTAGTGAAAAGTGCTGCGAACCTATATAGATTCTACTATCTAATTGCAAAAATTACATTTGTTAGGCTGTATGTTGAATATTTTGCTGGTCAAGTGCTGCGAACCTATATAGATTCTACTATCTAATTGCAAAAATTACATTTGTTAGGCTGTATGTTGAATATTTTGCTGGTCAAGTACATTAAATATAGATATAATTAATTCATTTGCAAGATTTCAACAGATTCGCAGCACTTTTCAAATATCTTCATACTTCCTGAGTTCAAGCTTGTCATAATTCATTGAGGGTATGCCCTTGCAATATATCGATTTATTACGACCCTTCTATAACCCTTCAATGAATCTGCATACAAATATACGACAGTATCGCTTGTCTAGGGAATATACGGGAAGTATATGAATAAAATCATAAAACAGACATCGCATCTAAGTTAATGGCCTCTTATATATCTACAATTTATATTTTATTTAATTACTAAATACATTTTTCATTGTATAAATATAACTTGATCCGCCTCTCACTGCATACAAACTGCGTCAAATATTCCGATATGAAGTCACATTGACAAGTGCATTGCGATCAGTGAATTGTTTATATATTGCTGTGTTGGGTTTAACCAACGACAATAATGCATGCACTAGTTAGTATTGATGTAGTTTAAAGCTATTCATAAGCTTAAAATACCAAATCATTTCATTTTGTGGTAATTTGAAGAACTTCTATTTTTTGTGATGTCATAGTAAGCATTTCCCGTAAAAATTAGGCCCCGCCTCCTTACTGCAGCCTTAACTGTGCTGCGTATTCTAAACAATGATTTCAATGTCCATTTGTAATTTAAAACAAAATAAGTACACAATAAGTAATGCATTGCAATTCTTTGTAATGCCTGGATTACTCTAGATTTGAGAAAATTATGCATTACATCACTATTACATGTTACATGTATGCGAATGTTTTAGCATCACGCATAATCAGGCTTACTTTGATTTCATGTAAACCATTGCAATACATTACCATAACATTTAGCATTATTCCAATCATGCTATACGTGTATTCTTATTGCGTCGTATGGCTTATTCGTGCTTGTTTGTAATTATTGCTTCTCATTTATCAGGCGATGCGATGACTGCAAATGGGTTTCCATGGTCGAATCTGAATGGAATGAAATTTTCTACCATCGATAAAGACCAGGATAAGTCACCTGCTAACTGTGCTTTAAGCAAGGGAGGAGGAGGCTGGTGGTATAAAAGGTGTCGTAAAGCCCTTCTCACCGGTCCATACGGAAGCACAAATTGGGGGAAGGTTTGGAGTCCTACATTCAATAGTGGAGTTGACGTCCGTAGAGTTGAAATGATGGTAAAGAGGAAGGCAACAAAGTAAAAAAAAAACTCTTTAAAAATGTGGCTTGAAGATGTAGAAAAATAGTAAATTATTTATTTCCATTGTCTATTTTTCAAGTCGTACATTTTAAACAGGGATATCCTGAGAATTTTATAGATAAACGGGTGTTGAAACATAAAGAAAAACTGTTATAATGTTTGGTAAAAAGTGATTCTATGCTGACAAATGTACGTATTGTATCTTTGTTTACCCATGGTGAGCCTCAATTTTTCACTAACACTGAATTCCCGTATGTTATCCCTTAGCAATACATGATTTTGATTGGATAAGAGATAGCATTTTTTTGTGAATGATAATTCAGGTAAAAATCTAAGACGCAGAGAATATTTTATTCAGAAGTTTTGTTTTCCCAACCTCCTCACCTAATAAAAACCACCTTTGTCCATTAATTGGAAACATTCGTTTGTTTGTTTGTTTAATGTCCCTTCGAGAATTTCACTCATATCGAGACGCCATCACTTGCCGGTGGTGGGCTGCAAATTTAGACCTGTACTCAGCACTTACGGCCTTTGAGCATGGTTCTTTTTTTCATGCCAGCACCTACTTCGACACGGGACCTCGGTTTATACGGACTCATCCAAAGGACTGGTCATCGTGTCAAACAGTGGATTCGAATCTGCGTCTTTAGGATCAACTCCTTACTGCACGACTTTAGAACAAACGCTCTAACCACTGCGCCACGCGGACGATCTATAAACAATTGAGCTTCTTATCTGTTGGTTTCATTCATGTTACATTATTTTTCTAGACTGATCGGTACAAGGAATATCGGTAATAGATGTGTATCTTATAATTATGTGTAAATCTAAACTTCTGTCATTTTTTTCTCGGCAGATTTATATTAATTATAAAATCAGTATGTCCATTGTATGAAGATAAAGTGAGCTTTTGAATGGTTATGATTTGAAGTACTTGATTGCAATTTTGTTATTTGTTTTGCATCTGCTTTATTCACATTTGTACTGGATACATAGTTACATGTAGTCTTAGGAATACTTTTTTGTTTGTTTGTTTTTTTTTTTTTATTTATTTTTTTATTTATTTATTTTTTTTTTTTTTTTTTGTTCCGATTACATGTATCTGGCCTGATTGCTTATCAAGACTTTTTGTTCAATGAAGTTCAGTTTAAAAAAATATACCCCGGTATTGTTTTTTATGTTGTGAGGGTGTAAATAAAGGAAGAGGCATGAATATATTTTGATGTATGTATATAAAAGCGTTGATTAAATTAGTTGCAGTTTAGAAACATAATTTCATAACATTATCAACAACATTATAAGACCACAATTGGTTCCTTAACTTCAAATGTATTCAAAACTCATCACAAGTATGTAAAAAATAAAGCCGCTCATAACTCTCTCATAACTCCGATTGTATCGAGGCATCAGATTTTTTTTTTATTTTTAAATTTTCATTTACAATATCTAACACTTAGTAGATTGTTATAAACATTTACCGACGTCGATAGCTTACTTCAATTATTTTTAGTTTGATTTTCATTATTTATTTAACTTATTTTTATTCATTTATTTGTTTATTTATTTTATTTAATTTTCTTTTTCTTTTTTATTTATTTATTTATTTATTTATTTTTTTTTTTTTTTTTTTTTTTTTTTTTTTTTTTTTTTTTTTTGATGTTTGTTTGATTTTTTTTTATTTATTTATTATTTTTGTTTTTGTTTTTGTTTTTGTTTTTTTTTTTTTTTTGTTTTGTTTTGTTTTGTTTTGTTTGTTTGTTTGTTTGTTTTTTTTTTTTTTTTTTGTTTTTTTTTTTGTTTTGTTTTGTGTGTGTGTGTGTGTGTGTGTGTGAGGGTGTGTGTGTGTGTGTGTGTGTTTTGTTTTTGTTTTTTTTTTTTTTGACACAAAAGAAATCCTGTTTGACATACTGAAATTATTTTGTTATGTATTTTTTTTCATTACCAAAACTTTCTTTGAAAAATACGACTGCCATCGTCGCAAATCAAAATGTACGATCCTCTCCAATTCTGGCCGTGGTTGAATGGGAAGAGAATAATTCGTACCTCATTAACGTATAGAATAAGTCACATACGGAAAATGAACTTTGAGGCGACCCAATCGCAGTTTACGTATTTACGTCACACGCGACCTAATTGCAGTTTACATAACAATTCTTGTGTGTTGTTGATTGCAATTGCTATGGGATCGATTATTTTCATTGTTTTAATATGACGACATACATAGGAGGCATGATTATGCATGATAGCGATACTTTATGTGATCAAGCAGCCGCGGGTAGAAGATAATATGCTATTATGACCACATCTAGGTAGTTGAGAAAAGTTACTAGAGCTGGTACATTGTGATATTTTACGGACAGCCTTATCCTAGCCGCGAATTCTCAGTAATAGCTTTTTTTTTCTATGCTTCAGTATGATATAAACCTCAGGTTTTATTATTAAAAATGGACGGAGTAGACCGATATCATGTTTTACATATAGAACTAAATAAGTTCAATTCTTTGGAGTTTGGAATTGAATTAATAGGTTCACAAGCAAGTAATAGGTCGTTCTAAAGTCTAAGGAATAAAGTAGACCATTGCATCATACATGTGTGTACCAAATCATCATTGTAATCTGTCATTGTATTTTATTTTTTAGATTTGAATATTTAAAAAAAGTATATAAAGGTTTGATTCATAATTCATTACATAAACTTTTCGTGATAATTATGAAATCTAAATGAAATGTATGGAGATAACAAACAGTATTCAAGCTCAAAAGTCCATTAAACAATACAAATTTTGAAGCAGAGCAAACACGGACCTCTAAAACATCAGAGGTGGGATCAGGTGTATGAACTTTGAATAAACACAGAGGGTTCATGTGACCGGTTGACAAGGGATGCTTACTAACTTCTAGGCAACTGATCCCACCTCTCGCATATCCATGGGTCTCTGTTTTATGATTTGTTCACAGATTTGTATTGAATCCCTAGCTTCAGGATGTAGAGTTATCGGGACTTCGATTTGTAAAAGTTATGCGTTATCAAATAAATGCTTATGAGCAAAATGTTCTTTAAAAATATGAAAAGACTCATTATACCTCAATGGAATGTCAATTTTTTTTTTTTAAATGTATCGTACTGGCTACTGCAATGACGGATGTTAATTCCTCAACCACCCCCCACCCCACCCCACCCCCACCTCCATCGTTCTCATAGGAAACGTTAGACCTAGCAGTTAAGTAGTTGGTTGAAGATTTCTTTTACCATGCAGAAAAGTCTTTCCACTTTCAATATGCTTTCTTACATTATACTATAGAACTAACCATGGATCTACATGTATTAAGAATGTCAGGTTTCCAGACTAAAACTTATGACTACAGAAATAAAGCAGTTTATTCATTTTGATTCATCAACCGTATATTCCTTCTCTAAATAAAATTAGTTGCTGGAAATAACAAGCTTATTAATGTCTGTAATCAAATTTAATTCAGTTTTAAAGACTTCGTTTATTCAAAATGATTGCTTATAAAAACAGCTTCCTGTATCTGCATTTATTAATAATTGAAAACCATCTTGGAAAGCAATAAGACTTTTATCTATTTATTATTATTTTTTTTTAAATAATGAAACTTTTTTTCTTATAAACGTAAAAATGTTGCATTGTACAAATAGTAAGGGTCTGAACTGTGAAAAGTGTTTTCGCTCTTTTTACTTGTTTTCATCCGTTTGACTTAAAAAAAATATAACAATGATATATGAGAAAACAGAGCTTGATGAGATGGTGCGATTTTGCGTGTTGAAATGCTGCAAATTATTTAATTGCCAGTAGAATAACTTAGAAGGATTGCACTGTTCATGAAAATAATGGATGTTTGTTCCCTTTCGAAATTTATCTTTTATAAAAAGCTCACGCAAAGATGTTGAAAAGGACCTTCATTTTCAATCCAAAATTTGTAATGCAACTGTCAGGGCTAGTGAATTTCAAAAGAGAATTCCATTTCATGTTTTTCTTTTCTTTTAAATATTTAAATATTAATTTACATAATAATTTTCTCTTTGTATTTCCCCCACGAAAATATCTTGATGGGATTCTGTCCAGCATGATCAATATGATTTGCATTACATTTTGGAACTATACATCATCGGCAAAAATGAGCTTATTATTACCAACTCACAATTTTTACCAGAATAAATAAACATATTACAGGAATCAAGGTGAAGGTAAATAGTTATATAAATTTGAATCGATCTTACATCATGTTGATGCCAGGGCTTTACACAAATCAAAATGTTCTCCTATCAGTTTAAAAAAAGAGAAATTTCGTGATCATCACAAATTCATGATGCACATAGCGTAGAATCCTTTTCGTTTAAATTAGATTTTCTGATACCTTTAATTCAATAAAATAAAAAAAGACATTGTATTTTTGACAGTATTATGTTTATATCTTTAAATTAACGTGATAAAGACTTTGATTCAGTTTTCTTTGGGCTGAAAGAGTTTTAAGCAAGTAGAGTAACATCAACTTCTTTTGAATATTATATTCGCCAAACAGATACTGCATAGATATCTCTAATAATTCTCTTCCATCACATGAACTGCCTGTCAACACGCTCAACCTTTTAGATGAAAGGCAACAATTATGCGAAAACAGGTAGATGCGCTGATCAAAGTGACAGATACATGCATGCAGATCGATTACTAATTCTTAACAATGCTATTGAAGTATACTGAAAACAGAAAAGAAGTGATTGTTTTTCAAATTTGTTAATCTCTTATTTGTATTAATTTACTTTCTTTTTGTTTTTAATTAAAGTCACCATCTGTGGTATAACACTAAAAATTAAGAAATTTATACGGGGTCTCTTAGAATTCAACCATATGTAAATCGATTTTCACCGATCGATTTTTTTTTTTCTTTAATTGTCATTAAAACTTGATTTAAAATACATCAGCCACGTGCTGTAGATATTTTGTGATAATAAAGTAAAAAATACATACATTGTACAGAGAG